CAAGTAGCTTCGAAAGAGATGGGTTTTCAGCTGTCGCTTGAAAATTGTCAGGGATTCAGCATTCCGGATAGGGGTGGGAAGATCGTTCCACCAGCCAGGAGTGGTGAACGAGAATGTTCTGGAAAGTGATTTTGAGCCTCTCTGTGATGGTACCACGAGGCGTCACTCATTAGCGGATCTCAGACTTCTGGAGGGGATGTAGATTCGTAGTAGTGAGTGGAAGTAGGCGGGTGCTGAGTCTGTGGCTGTTCTATATGCAAGCATCAATGTCTTGAACTTGATTCGAGCCGCAACCGGTAGCCAGTGCAAGGAGATAAAGAGAGGTGTAACATGGGCTCTTTTGGGCTCGTTGAAGACCAGTCGTACCGCTGCAATATAGTATGATATAGTGACAATACGGAGCTCATCTTCACGGAGGAAAAACACCTCAGATTAATTCAGAGGTGCCATATGCAATTTAGTGCAGTAGCTGATATTCATATGGCCAAAAAGCCTTTGGATTTGTAAAAAACTATCAATGAGGCAACAGAAGGCATGTAGAATATTTTGTACAGCAGGCAATTTAGCCAAATTTTGATCATGATGATAATTTAGAGGCCTTAGAAATTCATGTATCAAATATGATATAATAGGCTTCATAAGGTTAAAGGTTCGACTAGACAGTCAAATCCTGGTATAATGGCACTATCTACACATATGTGACCCTGCAGCACAAAAGCAGTCTTAAGTCGCTGGGGTATATTTGTAGCAATACACTGTATGGGTCACAATTATCGATTTTTCTTTTATGCCAAAAATCATTAGGATATTTAAGTAAAGATCATGTTCCATGAAGATATTTTGTTAATTTCGTACTGTAAATATATCAAAACTTAATTTTTGATTAGTAATATGCATTGCTAAGAACTTCATTTGGACAACTTTAAAGATGATTTTCTCAATATTTAGATTTTTTTGCACCCTCAGATTCCAGATTTTCAAATAGTTGTATCTCGACCAAATATTGTCCTATCATTACAAACCATACATCAATGGAAAGCTTATTTATTCAGCTTTGAGATGGTGTATAAATCTAAATTTCAAAAAATGTACCCTTATGACTGGTTTTGTGGTCCAGGGTCACATATTCATATAGTCACTGTGCTACAAAATGTTTGGTTAGAAACACATTTACATATTCACTAGATATGTATGACTGTTATATTTTGTATTCTTCTAATAAAAAGCAACACAAAACTGTCATTTGAATAAACGAATGACCTTTTTTTCCTTTGCTTTCAGAGTGTTTTGGTACTTTACAGTTGTTTACCCGTCTGCCGGGTTATGAGGGGTCTGTGGTCGGCCTGAAGATGGGTGATCTCTCCGTTAATAGCTCCATCTTCAGCAGCAGGAATGGATCTGACCCCCCCTCCGTCCCACCCAGCATGTCAATCGACAAGCTCCTTCCAGCCCTGCTCGAGTGTTTTGGGATCATTCTCTGCGGATACGTCGCGGGCCGTACAAACATCATCCCAGCGACACATGCTAAAGGACTGGGCAGCTTTGTGTCCAAGTTTGCGCTTCCAGCTCTGCTTTTCAAAAACATGGTGCTGCTGGACTTTGGCGATGTAATCTGGCCTTTTTTCTTTAGTATTTTGGTGGCTAAAGTGACTGTGTTCTTCTTTGTGTGTGTCCTCACACTTTTGGTGGCGGACAGAGAGAGCCGTTTCTCCAAAGCTGGCCTCTTCTCCATATTTGCCACACAGAGCAATGACTTTGCTCTGGGGTTCCCTATAGGTAAGTAAAAAAAGGAGAAGCCATACGTAAAAAAAGTACTAAAGCATGTTCCATAGACATAAGGGAACTCCATATTACGGGTAACAGAACAAATCCAAAAATATAACTAAACCCACAAATCATGAAAAACTTGAATCTGTGATATTTTGACTGTCTACAGATATATTCTTTCGCTTTCATTTGCCCAAAGTTATCTTCAAGCATTATGAATTTGTAGGTTGCTGTACAACCTGTTAGTTTAGTTTGAGGTTCATTTTTCTTGAATGCATTTCCAGGGCTTGGCACATAGTACTAGTATGATTCACATAATACCGCACCTCAGTCGGCATGTGCCTAAACGTCAACGTTAAGAAGGGGTTAAATAATGTCAGTTGTTGTTTCAATATTGAAAAAAAAAAAAACGCTGAAACAACGTTAAGTGCTAAATGGTTGTAAAAAGATGAACGAAATACTTCTAAATCAGTGTTGAAAATGTAAATGTTGAAAAGATGTTGAAACAACATTGCGATATCAACATTGATTTGCAAAATTGAAACAACGCTGGGCAACGATTAATCGCGATTAATCACATACAAAATAAAAGTTTTTGTTTATATAATATGTGTGTACTGTGTATATTTATTATGTATATATAAACACACACATACAGTATATATTTTGAAAATATTTACATGTATATATTTATATTAATATAATTTATATTATATATAAATACAGTATATTTAATATATAAACATAACGTATTTTTCGGAAAAATATGCATGCGTGTGTATTTATATATACATGATAAATATACACAGTACACACATATATATTATGTACACAAAAACTTTTATTTTGCATGCGATTAATTGTGATTAATCGTTGCCCAGCACTAGATTCAACCATCCATGATATTGATGCCTCTGTGAATTAATGTAGAAATGTTGATATGTGGATATACTGTATGTTTTTTTTTTTCAAGCTATAAATACAGAGAATAAGACTTAAGGCTGCTTCAGACTAAGAATGATGTCTTTAACAATAACGGCAATATACTGCTGCAACTTAAAATGAAACATTGCAATAACTAATGATGTGCTGTTTCCACTTAAAAGCGTTCGTGCTGCCTTAAACTGTAAAGTTTAATCAACCTTTGATTTTTAATTAATCTCAACAAAAAAACGCTAAACAATTTGTGATTACTAATCTTAACAATCATGTTTACAGTGTATATTAGCATCCACACCAACACACAATAACGGTCTGTTTATTAGCATGTGCTGCAGTTCTGTTGTCTGCTGCTTTGCTCAAGCTCTTTACAGATATAGTTATAATACTTGCTGTGCATGGGCCTTTAAACTTAAAAAAAAAAAAAAATAGTATTGGATGATAGTGTAAGCTAAATGGTGTTCCATTAACCTTTAACCCAGAAATTGTGCAAACAAAAAGCCAAATGGAACTGAAACATGAATTTACGTGTACTTTGCTTCTCGTTTCCACCACATGCCATTATCTTCTGTCTTCGACACAAGAATCTTCATAGAAGAATGTCCAAGCTGCTCTTTTTGGTATAATAAAAGTGGAGCATTTGTGCATATTCAGCCATGGCTCTTAAAACAAACCAATGCTGTTTTGGTTTATAAAAAAGAACACCTTGGACATTGTGATAAACATCTCCTTTTGTGAAGAAAGAAAGTCATAAGGGTTCGGAACCAAATTAGTGTGAGTAAATAATGGCAAAATGTTAAGTTTTGTTTTTGTCTCTGCCTCCTCCACAGTTGAAGCTCTGTACCGCAACACTCATCCGGAGTATCTTCAGTACATCTACCTGGTTGCTCCCGTCTCCCTCATGGTCCTGAACCCGCTAGGCTTTGCGTTCTGTGAGGTGCAGAGGCGAAGGACTGGAGAACCTCAGCAGCAGAGTAAGCTGCAAGTGCTGGGTTTGGTGCTCCTTCAGGTGGTCAAGAACCCTGTTGTCTTTATGGTGGTGATCGGGGTCATTTCTCACTTCCTGCTGGGCCAGAAGATCCCGCCCTTCATGGAGGAGTTTGTAGATGGTCTGGCAAACTCATTTGGAGGAGCAGCGCTGTTTTATCTGGGTCTAACCATGGTGGGTCAGCTGAAAAAGCTTACCCGCTCCACTGTGGTGGCACTTATTCTCCTCATCACAGCAAAACTGTAAGTCTACCATGCAAATTGTTAGTAGTAAAAGTTGAAATATTCTGTCGAACACAGAATAAGAAGTTTAGCAGAATGTCCATGCTGCTCTTTTCCATTCAAACTGTTAAAGGGACAGTTCACCCAAAAATGAAAATCATTTGAAAATCATTTGTATTGTTCCAGAGCCTTATGAATTTCTTTCTTCTGTTGAGCACAAAAGAAGATATTTTGAAGAATGCTGGTAACCAAACAGTTGCTGGTAGATATTGACTTCCACAGAAGAAGAAAATTCATATAAGTTTGGAATAACTTGAGTAAATGATGACAAAATATTATTTTTTTTCTGTGAACTATCCCTTTAAGTTTCTAAATGGACCAAAAGAGCACCATAAAAATAGTCCATATGGCTTGTTATGCGATCTGGGGCTGGTCAATTATTGCAAAAATCATAATCACGATTATTTTGGTCAGTATTGTAATCACAATTATTTAACACAGTTATGAGTGGACTGCATGACCACAACTTTATATGAGTGATTTATTTAAAGATAGCAATATATATCAGATATATATTTTCTGTAAATAGGGTTACTATGACATCTACATTTTATATACCAGGGAAAATTCAATTGTCAACACCACAGCAGAATACTACACACTAAAAAATGCTGGGTTAAATACGATCCAGTGCTGGGTGAAATATGGACAAACCCAGCAAAATTTAACCCAACCGCTGGGTCAAAACAACCCAATTGCAGGGTTTGTCTATATTTCACCCAGCACTGGATTGTATTTAACCCAGCATTTTTTAGAGTGTAAGGTAACTCATCTACGTAAAAAAAAAATCCTCAAAATAATTGAAAATAATTACACAGTCAGTAATACAATAAAAACAAAAAAGGGAAAAGACAAATACAACAGAAAAAAAGATAAAAATGAAACAAACCGTGATTTAAGCTTTTCATGCAAGTCTAAATTGTTCGTGCTACAGAAATTGAATAATCGAATGTAAAATAAAACAGCATAGTCTTCACTTTAGGAATTAAACTTGCTTTGTTTCTTATTAAAGCTACAAAAGTCCTTCAGTCAGGAGCAGTAAGTGATTATGTCTTTGTATTTTGTTGTTTGATTAATATTAAGCACACAGTCGGCAGCAGGAATATTAGCCCGCTGTCACTTTAAGAGCTGCACGGATCCAATTTACATGTATGTTCACAATACAAATTCTATTTTTAAAAACATGAATAAATCTAATAAACTTTAATACAAACCAAGCACGTCCCATTTTGCGAGTCACGTTACATGATTTTACTGATTTGCACGTGAAATTGGGCTTTTATGGAGGAGCGAATGCGCACTGTTGGAAAGGGGTGGAATGGGGCACAATAATGTTTTATCTTGATTATTGTATTTTCATAATGGTTGAAGGCCGAAATCAAAATCGAAACTGTATTTCGATTAATTGCACAGCTCTAATTCCAAGTCTTCTGAAATCATATGATAGCTTTGTCTGAGGAATAGACCCACTTTTAGATGAACTGTACATCAGTAGCGCGTATCAGAATTACATTTATCTTCACCCACATTATTAAGAGTGATCTTTGCACGTTTTACTAAGGCGAGAAAACGAATTTAATGTTTTCTTGCCCTCGGGTTATTTGAATCTGTAAATATGCAGGTAGCAGCTTCCAGTGTATCTTGGCCACAGTACAGTGTTGGTCCAATGGGAATGTTTCTCAGAGCGTCAACAGAGTGAATCCATCTACTTTTAATGCACAAGCTTAGTTAGAGGACCGTAACACTGTCTGTGACAACTGATCTGTTTGACCTGCTCATGTTTGTCCTGTATATTTAGTTTACTCCCAAACTCTTTTTCTGTTCTTCTTACTTGTATTGATGAGTAAGATTAAACATAATGTTGTTGACAGTGCTAAAAATGGTTCCTGTAGTTCCTGTAGTTCTTGGTTTCCTTATGGTTTCATTGCATAATGCAGAACTCACTCTGTTCATCTGTGGCCTCTTTAGACTGGTGATGCCTCTGATCTGTAGAGGGATGGTTGAGGTTTTGGACTGTGGAAGCAGAAGCTCGATGAACCACACCAGTCTGTCAAACTACGCTTTCCTGTATGGAGTCTTCCCCACTGCACCTAGTGTGGCCATATATGCATCACATTACAACATGGAGCTGGAAGTGGTATGTGCATTGTGGAGATGTGTTTTGCACCTTTATTTATTTATTTATTTGTGACCCTGGAGCACAAAACCAGTCTTAAGTCGCTGGGGTATATTTGTAGCAATAGCCAAAAATACATTGTATGGGTCAAAATGATTGATTTTTCTTTTATGCCAAAAATCATTAGGATATTAAGTAAAGATCATGTTCCATGAAGATATTTTGTAAATGTCCTACCGTAAATATATCAAAACTTAATTTATGATTAGTAATATGCATTGCTAAGAACTTAATTTGGACAACTTTAAAGGCGATTTTCTCAATATTTTGATTTTTTTGCACCCTCAGATTCCAGATTTTCAAATAGCTGTATCTCGGCCAAATATTGTCCTATCCTAACAAACCATACATCAATGGAAAGCTTATTTATTCAGCAATCTCAATTTCGAAAAAGTTAGCCTTTTGACTGGTTTTGTGGTCCAGGTCCATTTATTTAAGAAAAAAAAATCAATAAATTGATCAAAAGTGACCGTAAAGTCTGTGAGCACTAAATCATCATATTAGAATGATTTCTGAAGGATCATGTGACACGGAAGACTGGGGTAATAATGCTGAAAATTCAGCTTTGCATAACAGGAATAAATTACATCTTAAAATATCTTAATATATAAATTGTGATAATTTTTCAAAAATATTACTGTATTCTTGGTAAACATAAAATACTTTTCTTTCTTTATTTTTAAAAGGGACAATACACATTAATTAACATGAGTAAACAAGTCTACTATGTAAATGGACTTAATGTTTTCTAAAACATTAAAACATTTTATAGACCTCAAACTTTTGATGTCATTCAATCCACATCCAGCTGAATTTTCGCAGTTAGGTTGTATGTGTCTCCGTATTAGAAATTATATTCTACATTTGCATAATTTTTTTTTTTTCCTGACACCACTCCCATGGCACACTTAATTCTGTTTTAACCGTATTTAATTAGTTACATTTTGATTGACTCGTGTAGTTTATCAAAGTACCGCCACGGTATTTTTGTGATGAGCACCTCTTATTTGTCCCGTTCAGGTGACCTCAGGGATGGTGATCGGCACGTTTCTGTCTGCTCCCATCATGTATGTGTCTGCCTGGCTGTTGACCATCCCGTGGATGGACTCGGATCCACTAGCATCAGCGCTGCAGCACGTCAGCTTCAACATCAGCATTATCAGCCTCTTTGCATTGGTGAGTGTTGAGGGTTTTCATTTCTCTTCCCTTCAGTCTTCTAATTTTGTCTGGTTTTGCTTCCTCTTAAAGACATGAATGGTTACAATGTGTTGATTTTGCTGTCGTCCCTCATGCTGGTGGTGAGAGCACATGTTTGTGCTACTTCTGCTCTCATGCAGGTGATTATTATGGGATGAAGGTAAATCCGTGTTATTACCAGTATTGCCGGAGATGCCATGGAAACCAGGCATTAAATGGATTTTAATGGACATGCTGTTTGAAATCTGAAATCATGTAAAATAATGTTTTTTGGGTAATTGAGAACAAGATTTAATGATACTGTGTCCAGATTTTTGTCTGGGTCTATAAATGTATTCAAAATACATCATTAATTTATTAAAACATTAAATGGATTAAAACTCTAGTAATATATTAGAAAATTTCTGACTTAAAATTAATTTAAAATTGTTGGAGAGTGGTACAGGGTGGTACAGTACAACTGTCCTGGTATCGTAATGAGTATCAAAAAGAAACATTCTTAAAAATAAAATAATTTTATCATAATCTTTTTACCATTTTAAGTTAGTTCAAGCAGTAAAATGTACAAAAAATGTAATAATTTAAATAATAATTATCGATATTTGTAAACATGTTGGAAAAATGTATACTTTTATACAATTATTTAAACGCTTTTGTAAAATAGGTAATAAATAACAATAATAAATAAGATGTGTGCACTCACATGTATTGAAGGTAAAAAAAAAAAAAAAAATAAAATAAAAAATAAAATTTTATTACGTGGTTATACCACGTGACAAACATAGTCGTTAAATTTGAACTTTTGTTGAAAAAGGCATAAATGTTTTTCAAAACCATAGGACACTAAAATGAATACGAAGAGTACATTTTTTGGTATTTTTTAAAGATTTTTCCTTTTCGTTGTCTTAAATGCCGTTATTTGTCATTTCAGATAAGATAAAGCCATATGAAGATTATTTAGGGAAAAATCTGATAAATCAAAACTGAAATAGAGTTCATTCAGCTATACGACAAAACGCTGATAAAATCAGCTCGTTATAAAAATCGACAATTTTTCTTTGGTTTTAACTTTTGACATCAAACATGCACACATTGAATAAACACACCAGAATGTCAGTAAAAGTGTTTACATGCGAAGTGAAATTGGGTTAAAGGGCAACAGTTAATGTGCACAGATCAGAAAAGAACTGCCGGTGTTTGCACGATCATGCATGTTATCAGGCTATTAAGCATAATCATTGTTAGATGCATGTAAACACTCATTTTTATTTTAAGTTGTTATGATCATTGAAATTCAAACACTTTGCAGGTTCAAACAGGTCCTGTGTTTGCATGTCTAGTGTAGATGTTGGTTGCAATGTTTCCAATCTCAGATTGTGTCATGCTGTTGTCAGATGCATCTGTTGACACGTCCTTCCTCTTTGCGTTCAGCTTGAGAAAAAAGCAAGAAACTGAAGTTTGGTTTAAGCTTATACAGTATATAACAATATTCAAGCATATACACGCGCACACACACACTCTATGAACCAGTTAAACTGGTTTTGAGAGGTTACTGTAGGTGTATGTTCACACTGCACCGGAGGGGATGGAAACACGTTGTGCTAAAAGTATTCAAACTCTGGCCTGCACTTCTCTGAAATGCTCTGTTCGTGTTTGTTCTTCCTGTCCCTGCAGGTGTGGAGTGTTGCAGTCATGCTACTGAGCAGAAAGTTTCACAGAATTCCTCACATTTTCACCATTAACCTCTTTGTGGCGCAGGTGAGCTTAAAATTAGTAGTTGCTTGGTTTTAGAGACACTGTTATACAAGCTTAAGGGATGCTCGAAGGGTTGGGTTAGGCACTAGTAGAAATAGTGGTGGGAGTTTCCGGTTAGAGAAACTGGAAAGAGAGCAGGTCCCAGTTAGAGGATTTATTTGGATTATTTCTGCATGTATGAAGTAGTACAGGCACTGTGTGCACGTGTGTGTGGTCTACAATGAACAGAGGAAGCAAAATACAATGTAAAAGTTGTTCATGTAAACAATATTATACTAACATAAAGAGTATGAACATTATACATAGCAGTAGCAATAATAATTCAAGTTATCCAAACAGCTGCATTCAAGTGTATCATTTCATTGATGCAAGACAAGGGTACAAGTCAGCTTACATATCTAAATAATACTGTGGAATATATGCAACTAGGCGCTATTAAAGGAGTTTCGACATTTGGCCTAACTAGGTCTGCATGCAATTTACCTGAACATATACATATTATTTAAATTATTATTTGAACTGGTACAGTTCACATATGACAATAACGGAGTATGTAAAATATTTAAGTTTGAACAGCTTGGAAGGTAAACAGATAACTTCTTAATCATTCACTCACAGGAACAACAAACATGCAATCCGTACTCTTGAACAAAAGAAAAAGAAATCAGTCTTTCTGCCTATAGACTGCCCCTGATACTTGTTCAACTCAACTCAACTCAACTTTTATTTATAAAGCACTTTCAAAACCATTAAAATGGACCAAATTGCTGTCCATAAATAATTCTAAAATTCATGCAAACATAAAATAACAACAAGACATAACATCTAGACTTATACAAGCATTAATAAAGTTATATACGTAAAGATACCTCTAGGAGGCATTGTTGGGCTTTCGTCCAACTGTACTTTTCCATTAATATCACAAATATGTTTCTGAACATTTCAATTAACATGAAAGTGCAGTCAAAATGCAACCTGATGATTTTTTTCACTGCACATTCTGCACAAACTAATACTGCCGTGTGTTTGTAGTTATTAGCCTGTGTTGGGATGATAGCGTGGAACTTCATGGCAGAGCAGGACAACTTCCTGGGTCAGGTGTTGACCTTTACTCTACTGTACGGCTCTCTCTACAGCACCTATATTTGGCCTGGTGAGTCATTCGAGTCTTTGAAAAATCACTGAACATCACCTGTTCCAAAACATCTGATTCAACACCATTAAACACTACCTGGTCCACACAACAGCGTTAAAAACTGTAAAAAAATAAAAATAAAATAAAATTGGGACACTTTTTACAAATTAAAAAATTATCTGTCAAAAAAAACCAAAACATAAAAAAAAAAACTGTGGACATGAAAAATGGAAAGTGGGCTTGTTTAGTTTAATCAGGTGTGGGTTTTGCGATGCAACTACGGCAGATCTAGATGACAAGAAATAAACTGTAAGCAACTAAACATTTCTTATGTAAGTACGTGGATTAATCCAAAGTTATGTCATGAAACTCTAGCTGCCGCAGGCTGATTCAAACTTAATCGGATTTAATTACATCATTAATCACATGACACAGCGGATTGGTTTCTTTCGCATCAGCAGCCAATGAGATCGCTGCTTAACATTCAAATACTTAGCTAGCGCTAGCTGTAGCAGTTGCAGCGCGCTTTGGTAACCCTCCACCTTCCCCAGCTCCACCTTATGGATCATGTGGTAATGTTATGTATGTTATATATGGGGGTTATTTCATATATGTGCAGCAGCAGTATTTCATACATGCTCACAGCAGCATATCTGTGGATGTGTTGGCAGTAGCAAGTCTCAGTACTTGCTGTGCCGCAGCAGATCTATTCCTTCAAGACCAAACTCAATAACATTGTCGTGTATATTACCATGCTAAACTCTCTGAGAATTGTTATGACAGAGCTATGGAAGAAAATCGATTGAGAGCCTGTTTTTTGTCAAAGTAACAGGCTTTTGGGGGTTGTGTTTGAATAATGTTATTCATTGTGTTGTGAAGGTCTGATCGCTCTGTCTCTGCTCCTCATGAGGAGACGTGAGGAGGTGAACTTCAGGCCAGGGCTCACTGTGATCACTGGCTGGGGGTGAGTGGCGCATTCAGGACAGTTACATAATGACCAACTGCGTTACTGTACGTGATGAACATGGCAGAATCGATCGATGCTCAATAATGTGCTGCATGCATACTGCAGTATAAACTGACTATGAGGTCTGAGATTGTTTGTCAATATATTAGTTAGATATTACAAATAAAATATAGTTTTACCATAATGTGAAACTACATTACCCACAATCCAGTCAGAGAAGTTGTTGTTGTGTTGTAATTAAAAACAGCCCCATAATATATATATATATATATATATATATACATATTTTCTAATCAATTATTTAATTACACAGGCTTTTACCATTGTCCTTCTGATTTTATTTCACAGTATCTTTGTAATATTGTGATTCGATTCAGATACTTCTGAAACCAAGGCTGCTAAAAAAGCAGGCAGTCACTGTTGTGCTCTATTAGACAACTGAAATAAGTCTTTCTAAGCCAAAAACACTGATATCTGCTGTTGTTTCTCTCTGTCTCTTGCAGTGTCCCGGTTCTGGCTGTCAGTGTCCTCCTCCTTACAGGGGAAAGATTGCCAAACACTATCGACTCTGCATTCTTTTATGGAAAGACGCAGGTACAAAACTGATGAAAGAAAGCCTTTCATGCTGTGCACAATTCCACATGCCCTCTTTAAGACTGTGTGCGCTGTTACTTTGCATCGGATCTGTTTGTTCAGATAACGTAGTCAGAGTTGGTTGATTAGTAATGGTGTAAAGGTAGCATGATAACAGGATACTTTCTTCTTGAGTTCAAATGTGCAGAATGGAAAGAGAAGTTTTGCCTCGGATCATGAAGTCAATGCATAAGATACTACTGTCCATGACTGAATACACAATCTGTCCTCATGAACAAAAGAAAGTCCATTCCACTTTTATAGTCAGACTAATACACAGTCTAATGTTATTGGATTTCAAACAACATATGAAAATGACTTGAATTGGTTGCGAAAATGCAAGAAAAAAAACCACAGATTTCATTACATTTTGTAGGTGTTCAGGCAACAAAAACTGGGCTATCAGTGTGAACTAGGCCTAAATATGACAACAACACTAGAACTATGTGTAGTTTTATGTAATTCAGCCCATCATATTCCATTATTTTTAACTGTAAGATGTTTTTTTTTTTTTTTTTTTCTTTTTTCTAAAGCATTTTTATAAACAACTATATTGTAAAGGTAAATGCATTCCACTTTTATAGTCAGACTAATACACAGTCTAATGTTATTGGATTTCAAACAACATATGAAAATGACTTGAATTGGTTGCGAAAATGCAAGAAAAAAAACCACAGATTTCATTACATTTTGTAGGTGTTCAGGCAACAAAAACTGGGCTATCAGTGTGAACTAGGCCTAAATATGACAACAACACTAGAACTATGTGTAGTTTTATGTAATTCAGCCCATCATATTCCATTATTTTTAACTGTAAGATGTTTTTTTTTTTTTTTTTTACTTGTTTTAATCTAGTGTTCCCCTGTTGTAGATCAAGTTGGTGTGTTACTTACAACGGACTTTGAAATAGTCCTCTTACAATGCATTTGCATGTTTGAGAGCAAAATGGTTTTGTGATGTTTAGTTCTTCAGGTCACCTAGTGTTCTCCTAAAAGCTGAAACAATTATGGGAAAATGGACCTGTATTCATCCTGAATGGATAAACCGTGGGTTTACTGTCAGTAATCATATAATGAGTGTATTTGTACTGAAATGTTGTGTGTTGTAGGTGACGTGCACGTCTGTGGTGTTATTCGTGAGCATTGTGCTGTGTGGCGTCTCGCTCACACTACTCAGCAGACGAACTCAAGACTATCACAGCCTTGAACGTGGATCACTGTCTGACAGCGAGGAGGACACACACACAGAGCAGCCCGGTGCTATAGGCAGCATCAACACAGGTGTGACACTCACTACTCCTCCTTTGTAAAACTATGGGTCCAGAATCAGGGGAATCTTAAGAAAGAAGTTAAAGGAATAGTTCACCCAAAAATGAAAATTTGATGTTTATGATTCTTAATGGGGTCAAAGCCGGAGCGTGACGTGTCGTCGTCTTCTTCTTGCTTTACAGCGGCTCGCAGACTTATAAGTGCATTACCGCCACCTATCTCTCAAATGGACCATTGACACTCCTAATTGAGATTGTAGATAGTGTCAATGGTCCATTTGAGAGATAGGTGGCGGTAATGCACTTATAAGTCTGCGCTCTGCGCTCTGGACAGTTCAGACATTACGGTGAAAATCAGAGGTAAAAAACGATATAAATACTGTTCGGTTTCTGGCACAAACCGATCGTTTCGTGTCTTTACACATCAATGTATCGTCACGAGCTGCAGGGTTTAATTTGGTTTTGTTTGTGTATGTTTTTGACTCTCAAAGCCGTGATTCCCATTCACTTGCATTATAAGACTGACAGACTGCAACGGTTTGAGTTAAAAATCTTCGTTTGTGTTCTACTGAAGAAACAAAGTCACCTACATCTTGGATGCGCTGGGGGGAAGCAGATAAACATCACATTTTCATTTTTGGGTGAACTATCCCTTTAAGGTATTTCCGAAGATAGATTCTAAGACGTTCACAAGAATGCTCCTAAGTGCAATTCTCAAAAGAACATTTTCTTAGCCTTTTTTCTTTTTTTTAAGAAGTAAATGGAAGGCAGTAGTTTTAATGTGGCGTGTTGCTTTTGTGCTCTAACTTTCTTGTGCTCTCTCATCTGTTTTTGTTTGCGTATTTCGAATTCAGCAGAAACTTGCTGATTGCTGACACTTATCGTGTCCCTTCAGAGTGTTCATGCACATCCTTAGTAATAGTAATATGTATTATATGTATCGTAATATTAATAGTTTTTTACTATTTGAAACAACCCAATGAATTCATTAATCATCATCTTACCTTTGGGTATTTAAGACAAGTTAGAGGTTATCCTGACTTTAAGAGGTTATATGTGATGATTTTTAAGAACATTCTTTTCAGGAATTCCGATTAATCTTCAAGTTTTGTCTTTAGAACAATCTTAAGAAAACATATGAACATTCTTGAGAAATGTTTTGGGAATAAAGTTGGAAAATAATTGTAGTTAAGAAAGATTTTGTGAAGCTGACCCTTGAATACATAATAGCATACTGTTTATCCCATGCTGTACAGTATATGTTTTATACTGCCCACTTATTATATAAAAACGCATTATGGTTCTATGGCATGTGACCCTGGACCACAAAACCAGTCTTAAGTGTCAATTTTTCAAAATTGAGATTTATACATCATCTAAAAGCTGAATAAATAAGCTTTCCATTGATGTATGGTTTGTTAGGATAGGACAATATTTGGCCGAGATACAACTATTTGAAAATCTGGAATCTGAATGTGCAAAAAAAATAAAATATTGAGAAAATCGCCTTTAAAGTTGTCCAAATGAAGTCCTTAGCAATGCATATTACTAATCAAAAATTAAGTTTTGATATATTTACGGTAGAACATTTACAAAATATCTTCATGGAACATGATCTTTACTTAATATCCTAATGATTTTTGGCATAAAAGAAAAATCTTTGACCCATACAATGTATTGTTGGCTATTGCTACAAATATACCCCAGCGACTTAAGACTGGTTTTGTGCTCCAGGGTCACATATGTAGTACTGTATTTTATAATGAAATGATGTTTCGAACAGTATGTTACATGATCTCATGATCACATAGTTCAGCAATTGGTGCCCAGATATCATCTCAGAAATAAAAATCCTTCTCTGCATTCTGAAGGTAATTTTCTAGGAACATTTGAGTTATGGAGATAAGACAGTCATCACGTTAGAAATGGAAGTCAAGCGTGCTGCATTGTGGGATACAGTTATCCACACACTGTGTTCTGGTTCTAAGCAGCTCATTTTAGATTCATCTAGTTGTTTCATAAATACAGAAAATGTTCATAGTGAGCAGCACAGAGTACATACTACTTTGAGAATGAAAATAGTATATGCCATTCAGAGAGCCTGTGAGAGAATTTGACTGATGTTTGTGTGTGTTTGTCAGACTGTCAGGCGTGCGAGTGTGCGTGTGGCCGTCTGCAGTCCGTGCCTGACATGACAAGCACCAACGAGGAAGCATCCATCCAAACAGGTTCTCTCTTTCTTTCAGTTCCTGTTCACTCACTCTAGATCAGGGGTGCCCAGCCCTGCTCCTGGCGATCGACTGTCCTGCAAAGTTTAGCTTCAACTCTAATCAAAGACACCTGCATTTAATTTTTAAGTGGTCCTGAAGACGCTAATTAGTTGCTTCAGGTGTGTTTGATTAGGGTTGGCGCTGAACTTTGCAGGACAGTCCATCGCCAGGAGCAGGGTTGGGCACCCCTGCTCTAGATAGATAGGAGATGGCATCACTGTATCTAGAGCTCAACAGAGCATTCAGCAGATGTATGGATAAGTACGTTTTCCTAATAGACCTGCATTGAATGAAACCAAATTGAAACTGGCCAATCCAGTGAATAGTTCTTCCTCGTAATTGCTCATAGCAACATTTTAAACACTCTCTTTGGTTTCCTGGTAAGCTGATTGTCAAGAATTACTTTCAAAGAATCTAGAAGATTGATCCAGCCAACTTTATGAAATTAATATTTAGTTCACATGCTCACTACATCTGAAAACAGGCACCACAGTTCTCAGCTTGTCTAATCATGTTCTCAATCATTATACACAGAATCTAACAGTGTGGTTACAGCATCTCTTTCTGCTCTTTGTGCATATTTTCAGAACTCTGAAAATTGTGCGACGAAGTGCAGATGTGAAGTCCGTTTCAGTCTTGAACATCAGCATGTCTGAAATATCATCTGCAACGCACAGCATCAGTTATGCTAATGAAGAACGAAAAGCGTTTTTGATATTGATATGTTCCTCATATGTGGGCCACTTTTTTGATACTTTAAAGACCTTTTGAGCATGACAGACAAGGTCAACTGTACTTTATTATATGAATGATATTATACGTATGGAAAAGTTGCTTGAAAATTTGTGTAAACTTTAAATGAAATTGGGTGCCTGTTATGATAGAATTTTCATTAGGACACAAACTCTTTCTTTAATGACTTCTGCTTCGATAAAACATCACTGAAAATCAATGGAATACATTTTGAAAGGCACAAATGTATTTTAAAATATGCATAATCTTGAATGCTGTTTTTAGGTCAGTGTAGCCAGCAGTGTACATCCACAAGCTGTCTGCTGGTCGAAGAGGAACAGAAAGTGGCAGACAGACAGAACACAGATATACAGTCGACGAGACATGTGCTTGTGTGTCTGTTACTGACCGTCAGTCTGCTCGCTGTGAGTACAGTCAATTAGCATGCACATGCAATTATACTCTGACATTATAAAAAGTATGGTAAGGTATTACCATAAAAATGTATGAGGGTCGATAATGTGATAACTCTTTGTTTTTGTCCAGATCTATTAATTTATTCAAATATGAATTAAAATTACAGTACATAGAGTACCTCTTTTATGATGAACATGATGTTTTTGTGCCACATAAATAGTGATAAAAGTGTGACCAAAAAGGTTTTTGCTTGCTTTGCATATGACACCACATTAGCTCATGTCAGTACGCATGCCACTCTTATCTATGGGTGGGGTTTCACTGTTCTTCAGAGTCTAGTCATTCTTCTGTGAATTAACTGTGTGTGTGTGTGTGTGTGTGTGTGTGTAGAATCTGTCCAGCTGTCTGTGGTGGCTCTTTAATAAAGATCCAGGGCGGCTGTATCTGGAGCTGCAGTTCTTCTGTGTTGTGGCCAACTTTGGGCAGGTAAATCTGTGTGCCTGTCACATGCGTTGTGCTGAAGTCCAACTATAACTGAAACGCATGTCTCTTATTGTCTTTTTCCTCTGCAGGGTCTCATTTCATTTGCCTTTTTTGGCCTCGACAAGCATTTGATTATTTCTCCGTTCAAAAAGAGGTAACTAAACGAAACTCTAAGCTTAAGCTTTATTAAAGGGGTCATATGATGATGAATCATATGCAATCTTTTGAGAAATTATGAAAGCATACTTTTATTTTCTGAAATTACAACTTCCAATTCCAATCTCCAGTCCAAGAAGTGCATTTATTGAGATTAAGCTGAAAAATGGCTTGTGTCATACGCCTTCCACAATTTAGAGCAGATTAATTCATTTGAATGCATTAACAACACGTGACAATCCACGTTTACACATTAGTGATGAAAAATGCATGCAATTCGTCTTCAAACTTGCCAAAAAAATGGGACAGTTCTAGGTTCAGTGGATATTCCACGATTAGTTTATGGGCCAAAATGTCCATCTCTAATATTTGAAATTCTTGCATTGCACTCTGCATTGCACTCCATTATGCAGCACTCTGTTTGTTGTTAGGATGACAAAAAGTTACTTTTTTAGGCTGTTTTGCCTCACGGGTCCAACAGTGCTCGTCAGAATGATTGAGATGGCCAATCAAGTCAAAGTAGGTTTGCTAATAGCACATTATAAATGCATTGCATATCCTCTTTTTACCTACCCGGCGCTGCCAAGTCACGGTTAGGTAATACAGGAAAAGCTGTATATAGAATATATCTTTAAATGGCAGAGAATAACTAATGATAATAGTAAAATGTGTGTTGTTTCTGGCTGTGTGTAGCACCTGCTGCTCTGCAGACACTTCCCAGCATTACAGTGGCTGGAGCGAAGAACAAGATCCCCGACCTCTTAATAGTTCGAGTGGCACATTTTCAGTTAGGATTGCTTTGTGATCCTGTTACAGTGTAATGCAGCTTTGCAAAAAAAGGCTGTTTAAGGATGGAGCATTTAAAAACCCACAGCTTTCACAGTGCAGCAAAATGCTGTCTCTGATTGTACATTCAAGTATGGCATTTTCATGAGTCTTTTAACGGCACAGCTGCCTGTTTAATTTTAAGGGTCAGAGAGAGGGTAGAACATTGGCATAAAAAAAACTTTATTGACATTTGTGTAAGTGGTGGGGAAAATTAATAAATAATTAAATGGGCTGTAGCTTTTGTAGTCAAATTACTGGTTTAATGTCATTGTAATGTTAAAGTTTCTTCCAAAAACAGTTTTGAAAAATGTTTTTGTGGCTTTTCTTCAATAAATGGTCTGGATAGAGGAAGGAGCTTTTATTTATACAGAGGTAGAAAAAATAGTATTAAATAGTTTTTAATAGTTCACCCAAAAATGAAAAATTGCTGAAAATGTGCTCATCCTCAGGCCGTCCAAGATGTAGATGAGTTTGTTTCTTCATCAGATTTGGAGAAATGTAGCATTGCATCACTTGCTCAGCAATGGATGCTCTGCAGTGAATGGGTGCCGTCAGAATGAGAGTCCAAACAGCTGATAAAAACATCACAATAATCCACAAGTAATCCACACCACTCCAGTCCATCAGTTAATGACTTTTTCACTGGAGGAAGCATTAATATGGATTATGGACTGGTATTTTGGCCAGAAGAGACGGTTTGAAGTTAAAAAAAACTTTGATGATGAATTTATCATAAACACGCAGTTTTTCCACTTCACTTATACTCATCACAAAAATATCACAATACTTGTGGATTATTGTGATGTTTTTATCAGCTGTTTGGACTCTCATTCTGACGGCACCCATTCACTGCAGAGCATCCATTGCTGAGCAAGTGATGCAATGCTACATTTCTCCAAATCTGATGAAGAAACAAACTCATCTACATCTTGGATGGCCTGAGGGTGAGCATGTGAGGAAACTATTCCTTTAATGTGAATTTATAAAAGTATATAACACATAATAATAAACATAAACTGATTCGGTGGCCTTCTGTATGTTGATAAAGGTTAGTGAGCCTGTGGCAGGGTTGGGGTCAGGAGGTCACAGGCTCTGCAGCGTCCGAGGAGATCAGACTGACCTGTACTCAGTTCCTCACATATCACAAGGAGCAGTGTGTCAGAGACATCATTCACAAGAAAAGGTGAGAGAACCTCCACTGCTCTCCGTTTTTTTTGCACTGAATTATCTGAATTAACCATTCATTTGCATGCATTTATTTTTTAAATGATGCATGTTACATCATGTTTGCATGTTAAAACATATTTGCATGAATATTTTTTTTTTTGGATTTATTTTTCCCAAACCTCTTCCTTTGCTTTCTAATCATCTGTCATTTCCTGTCTATCTGCCGCTTGCTACCCTCGCCTGCCTGTCTCTCTGTATCTTGTCTGTCTGGTCTGGTTTGGGTGCAGTCGGTGACGCATGCTCTGCTGTGCAGGTGTGGACAGAGAAGCACCACAGAGGCATTTCTGGGCAGTGATATGGTGCGCTGGCTGCAGAGCGTGGGATTGGCCAGTGACTCGGGGGAGGCTCTGGCGTACGGCTGGCGTCTGCTGGAGGGAGGAGTCATTCAACACATCACTCTGGAGCACGGCTTCCAGGATGAAGCTCTGCACTACCGCTTCACGTAGACGAGCGAATCGCTTCTATGGCTGGCAGATGCACATTTTAGCCGATGACACAGCGCACATTTCAGTGAATTATTTATTCTACCGATACTACTAGCAATAACCAGATGTGAAAGTAGTTGGTTAAAATGAGGTCTTGAACACTTTAGCTACCTCACACATACCGGATGGCAAAGGAGTGACTGGAAATCCTGCTCATCTCTCTTAGTGTTTTTTATTATTATTTTGACATCATTATTATTGTTGAACTGCCTGACATAATCATTTCACAATTTTATTTATCCATAACAGATAGAATTGAGTTGAAATATTCATTAGCTTCACATAATTGATTGGAAGGAAGTGGTTGCGTTTCCTCTCACATTCACATTATATTTTGGGGGTTATTCATCAGCTGTTTAACACTGGTGTTGTTTATCAGCTGTAACAACAATATTGAGTTGGTCACTGAAACCAGAATTCCATGAAACAATAATAAAGCTCATTGTGGTGTGGGATTTACTGAGTGTTGATCCTTTTTTAAATAGATCTACTTTAACAGAGCGGTGAGTTAGTAGGTCCTGGAAACCTAATGTTCACACAATCAAACATTTCTCAAAGTGAATCCATGTGGGATTAATGAGTTAGCTTTAAGTGTTTGTTGAGTGCATAGGATATCTGTGCATCATAAAGACATTCTCTAATTAAAACTGACATGGAAATGGATTTCTTGACACATGGACATAAGGCATGATGGACACAATTTAAACTTCCCATTTAAGATCTTTGACATAAACTCTAAAACGGTAAAAACATACCATTAGTTAACTTAAGTAACATTTAGAACAATGAGACTAAACCATTAACAAGTTCAAATATATTCTGTACAATCATTTCAAAAGATATCCAAACATACAGGAAGTGCCTAAATGATTGTGCAAATGATTCTCCAACTAGCTCTTGGCAACAGTATAAGGGTGTTTATTCAACTTTGGGAACTTTTATGTCCGAGGGGTTGAGTGGTTTTGAAATATGAAGCTGTATGAAGGTCATTAAAACTGTCTGGGATTTTAAGTTAACCATGCCTTTATTTATATTTGTTAATTTTAAGATGTTTATATATAGATTTTAGTTTTACACTTGTCTTAGAAAAAAAAAAAAAAAGATTTAAGATTTATTTTGTAACACTTTACAATTTGTTAAAATAGGTTAACTACATTTATAAAACGGATAGTTCCGGTCCTTGATTCTGATTGGCTGAGCCACGTTCGAAGCTGTTGTAAATTACTCTACAAACACACACCTTTGTTACTTCTGTGTGTTGCTGTTATAAATTCACTGTAAACCACGGCTGCACGATTGCTTTATTTTTAGTTAAATTGAACATTTACAACTTGAGCTGACATGAACTAACAATGAACTGTTGCATTTTTATTACTTAATGCTAACAAAAATGTATAAATAAATGCTGTAACAAATGCATTGCTCATTGTTAGTTAATGTTAATGCATTAATTGTAAAGTGTTACCAGACTGAATAAACTTAAAATTTGAAAATCCATTATAAAACCATGAATAATTACATGGTAAACGATGATTATATCAGAAAAAATAAAAGACTTATGTTATATAAATATAGTTTAGTATCAGTATAAAATACAATTAGCATCAGTGAAGAGCTAGAAATGACATTTTGAGACATATGATGTGTCAGTTCACATCACTTGTGAGCTGAATATTTTTATTATGCCTCCACTCCATTCAATCTGCAGTTTAGTGACAAAGTGATTAAGGGTCCATAGGTCCGAAAGTGTCCATAGTTGAAGAAACACCCAACATTCCAATTCATTCTAATCATGGTTTTTAATTGTAAACTGAGTCTCAGGCGCTGCTGTAAATACTAAACTCCTCATCTACAGTGTCTGTGAAGAGATGAACCAGCAGCGTTGCATCTTCAATCCCCTTCGTGAGATATTTCTCCATCTCTGCCAGCTTCTGCTTCTCCAGAGCTCTCATTTTCTCTACGATCTTCTGTCCTCTCTCCTGAACAAACAAACAATATGCCTCATTATTATAATCATACTATAAATTAGATTATAAATGTTTATCGTTATTTGACATTTTTTCTTGCACAAAACAACATTTGTAATTTAGTTTTTTTATGAGAACCATCTCTCCAAAACAGTTTTGGCTACTGTACCTTTAAGATTTCCATGCTAATGACCTTTGTTATGATTGGCTAACCTCTTTGCACGTGAACTTAGTAGCAGAGCTTACTTAATAAATACTGGCAGTATTGAAACACTTGGTGCTTTGTGATATTTTAGCCACGGCTCACCCCGGTGCTGTCGATGATGGCGGCGGCCCCCTCGTGTTTCAGAAACAGGGGGTGTTTGCGGTTGGGTTTGCTCTGGAAACGGGGTTTCTTCTTCACGGGATCCTCCTCTCCAAAACACGGAGAACACGTGTGCTTCAGCTGCTTTATGTCCACTACAAAAATAAACGGCTTGAAGACAGACCTATGGACAAAAGAACAAGACATATGCAGGTTTACAGTTACAGTTTACATTTGCATGAATTTGACAAAGGATTAATTCATCAATAATTTGATTTGCATAATTCGATTGGACAATTGTATTGTCCAGCAGGCAAAAATAGCAAATTAATTAAAATTTAAAGCAATAATAATAGCGATGTTTGCCACTAGGATTAGTCATAATTATGAACTAATACGTATAATTATTAATAATAATCATAACAGGAAATAATTGACAATTTATCTTAAAAATAATGTTTAATCTTGAGTAATATTAGGATTTAATGTAGCCGTTTACAATAAGGTTCCATTTTTCACATTAGTTAATTACATTAATTAACAAAGTAAACAATTTGATTGCATTTATTAATCTTATTTAATGTTCATTTTAACATTTATTAATACATTACTAAAATACGAACCTGGCTAACACAAACTAACAATGAACTGTTGTATTTTTATTAACTAATGTTAACAAAGATGAATAAATAATTGCTAATGTTAATTAATGCATTAAGGAACGTTAACTAATGGGAACCATTTATAAAGTGTTATCAGATTAGATATTAAACTATGGAAATCCATTATACATATATATGTGTGAGTGTGTGTGTACACACATGCATACACTATACAAGTAAGATTTATTTTTGGCGGTTTTTGCCTTTATTACGATAGGACAGTGTAGAGGAGACAGGAAGCAAAGTGGGAGAGAGAGAGGGGGATCGGGAAAGGTCCTCAAGCCGGGATTCGAAATGCAATGAAAGTCACTAGTGACCAAAACAGCTTAGTCTTCAAAATACCTTCTTTTATGTTGTGCAAAAGAAAGTAAGTCATTCAGGTTTGACACAACATGAGGGTGAGTAAATGATGACAGAATTTGTTTATTTATTTATTTTTGGTGAACCATCCCTTTAATGTTCATTTATTTTTTAAAGGGGTCATATGATGCTGCTAAAAATAACATTATTTTGTGTATTTGGTGTAATGAAATGTGTTTATGCGGTTTAAGGTTCAAAAAACATTATTTTCCACATACTGTACATTATTGTTTCTCCTCTATGCCCCGCCTTTCTGAAACGCGGCGATTTTTACAAAGCTCATCGGTCTGAAAAAGCAAGGTGTAAACTATCCAGTGTGTTGTGATTGGCCGAATACCTCAAGCGTGTGACAGAAATGTTACGCCCCTTACCATATTGTGATGTGTGTGTGTGTGTGTGTGTGTGTGTGTGATTTTTAACAGCCTATGTGACATGCCTATAAAGCACGAAACACAGGTACTACAGTGGTTTCGTTTGAATATCAGTGACTCTGGTGTACTGTACCACTCAGGGTCTGGAGTAGCAGTGAAGAAGTGGACGCCGGGTAAATTCTGGTCTTTCGGGACGACAGACACCATACTTCCTGTGGTCATGAACATTCCCTCCATATTGATTCCGCTTTCCTTATCCCTCAAAATCTCCATCATTGTCTCTGCTGCGATGTGGCCTGTAGGACAGTATAACGACAGAACAACTTATCTAACAAGTTTAGAAAACTGGCCATGAATAATCTATACAACATAAATAATCTACTTTACAATCATAAATAGTGAGACACTGTACCAGTCAAACGTTTGACAAATCTATTTGTTCTTTATGATTATTTTCAACATTAAAATATAAGTAGAGTCATTAAAACTATGAAATATCACAAATGGATGTATGGAACTTTGCAAATTCAAAATGATCAATTCTTCTCATTTTTAATCATCAATTCTTCTTTTTTGTCCAGATTCTTACACCAGATAAATCCAATTAATTATAAGCTATTTTAATTCTAAATGAAGCCAATCAAAAGTCAAAATCACACACACACACACACACACACACACACACACACACACACACACACACTGTAGCACTTCCCATGCTCACTGAGACCCAAACATTCATTAAAAACAAACAAACATTAAATTATAATTTTAGTTTTGTAAAGAAAGGCACTAGTATTATCTTTGCATGAATTTGCTGATCATTTACGACCACCAAACTGACAGCCACCTTCGCTCTTCTGCAGAAGTTTGCGTCCCTCACAGTAGCGTCCCCCTGCGGCCTGGATCCGGGCTGTCCTGGAGTAGGAGTAAACCTTAGCAAAGTTGAACTCAGCCTTTCCGTTCCACCAGCGCTGCTTCTCTGCGTTCGTCCTCAACTCCGGGTGCTCCCTATCGATCTTAGTAGTGATGGAGTACTCGTTGGAGATGTTCCGATAGCCGGCTTTAAGAGAGAGAGAAACAGCATTAGACGCTTTGATTTATTTCAGTTTGAAGCTGTAATGTTGCATGACTCAGGATGTACCCTCCACTCTCTCTGCTGCCCAGTATTTCCCAGCAGTCTCCAGCACCCAGGCCTCTGTGCGGTCTGATATGAGGAAGCTGTTATGGTATGTGAATCCACACTCATCCTCCATACAGTTCCCTCCCTGACCATGTTTCTCCAGCAGCTCTGTTATCACGTCTACAGCCTGCTCCGCACTGGCGGCCCTCTCCAGAGCCAGCCTATACAGACAGACAAACAACATCCCACACTTTGTTTAAAATTGCATTTAAAAGCATAGTTTACCCAAAAATGTATGACTTCCTTTCTTCCGAGAAACATAAAGAATGTTGGTAACCAAAAAGGTTCTGTTCTCATTGACTTCCATTGTAATTTTTCTCCATAAAAGTGAGAAAATGGGACCCAAAAAAATGTTTGGTTATCAACATTCTTCAAAATATCTTTTTATATTTCACAGAGGAATAAAGTAAGTCATACAAGATTGGAACAACATGAGTATATGTGACCCTGGAGCACAAAAGCAGTCTTAAGTCGCTGGGGTATATTTGTAGCAAAAACCTTTTTAAAGACCTGCAAAAATAAAATGAACACTTTATGTCCATGCAGAACAAACCATACAATCTTGGATTCTTTTACTTAATTAAAAACATTGGGCCCATATTCTACTGCAAAACAGATTAAGTGCAATTTTAAAATACTCAAATCACATTTTATTCAACATCTGTATTGTAACCGGTTTTTATGTACTAATATATAAATACACACAAATTAGAGGCTGACAGTTATTAGATTTTACTGATACGATAATAATGTGTTTAGAGAAAGGAAATGAACATATCATTATACTAATTTATGTTGAATTAATTGCCAGATGCAATTTACAGTGTAACAAAATACCAATAATACCCACACAAAAAAATGCATCTGCGATACTTTTAATTATAAAAAAGCCTTTTTGGCATCTTATTTGACAGTTTTTCTAATTTGCTACAGTACAAGTGTCTGTGCTAAATGACAGAAATTGCATTTATGACGTACACAAGTGACTAGATGATGCTGACGCTGAAGAAGCAGTTTTGAGAATTTCAAATGATCTGACAAACATAGCAAAGCAACTGAGAAAATCTATAAATCACAGCCTTTTGGAATTTAATAATGGCTTTAGGCTGTATGACGATTCCTGTTTTTCCGCCCCCAAATTTAAGACCTCCTGAAATGCTAATTAAGGCATTTCGTATACCATTTATAACATTTCAGACTTTTTTATGCTCTTAAATTTGATCAAACTTAATTTTGACTTTTAGGATGTGTAAAAAAAAAATCCATAACATAACACATTTTTTTTTTAACAGGCAACATATTTTGAATAACATCAGTTAATGCTGAATATGAAATACTTAATTGAAGAATTGTTTGTTGCATTACCTGACGAGATCCATGCCCAGGAGAGCCTCTTCACCGTCCACACTCTCTTTCCCCCAAACCGCCTCGTTCCCGATGCACACCTGATGCTCGTTTGCCCCCATCTCTGCCCCCCACAGCCAGGCGGGACGACTCAGGACCACTGCATACGTCTGAGCCACCTGCTCTATCTCTATATATGTACACTGATCACATGACAAACAGAATCATTTAATATTCCACCTCGGACAAGGGTGCTTTTATGTGTACACTACACTCATTTGAAGCCTGTGGAAGAAAGTACAGCTGTATCAGAAGTTCTTGAGATACCTCGACTTTTTCCTCTGGTTCATGGTCTTTGGCAGGGAAGTAGACCACCTCTTGAACTTCATCGCAGGCTCTGTCCGAGTTCTTCCCGAAGACTATCCGCTGACCCTCTGTAGACGGTGGCAAGGCTACAAAAGTGTCGCAGGAGGTTGGGTACATGCTGAAATAAAAAGGTGTAAACAGCAGAGTCGGGGAGTAACTAGTTACATGTAACGGAATTACACAATAAAAGTAACTGTAATCTGTTACAGTTACTGAGAAAAAAAAGTGTAATTAAATTACAGTTACTTGTGAAAATGTTACAGAATACAAAGGGAGTTACATCTGAATATTTTCACACACATACAGATTTAATTGATTTCTATAAAATATGAGACACCAATGTTTCAGGAGTTTATTAGGACACATGTTTATTTAATAACTGTTTATTTCCTATTTGGATCTAAATATACACTTTATTTTTTAAGATTAACAGTTTTTTTATTATTCATGCACAGATGACAACGCAATCATTGCTTCACAACAAAACACTGACCTTGAAGTTACAGGAAATAAGAACGTTTTTTTTTCTACACAAAATATACCACATCAACGGCGTGAATGAACTCCTAATTTATTTATTTTATTTAGTCATTTAGCAGACGCTTTTATCCAAAACGACTTACAAATGAGGACAACACAGACCTTTGCATGAAACATTGTTTAGCGCTAATATGCTAGCTTTTAAGCTGATCCAAATATTATTAGTATATGGTGTTACATTCGTCTACAAAATGCCTTAAATAATATGATTCACCTTGTCCAGCTCAGCGTATATACAGATACCAGGTACGAAGAGGATCACTGCTCTGCTCGATGAGATTAAACATGTGTTTACTTTCCTTTCCCTTTCTCCACAAACAGAACTGATCGGTGGATAAAGTGGGCGGGGCAACGGCGCGTCAGTCACGTGGTTTTGCAGTAGCGTTTCTGATTGGCTTTCGATTCCGCTGACGCAAACCCCAAACACTGCAAAGCATCGAAGATATCAAACAAGTCATTATAATATAACAAGTATAATATAAATAACAAACATTACAGGAGTGGCACTGCAATTATATGAGATAAAAAAATAATGAAAATCAATAAAAAGAAAACGAACCGCTTGTATGATTTGACAGTTGCTTGTTTATTTATTTAAGAAATAGTGCGATGTATTACTACATGCGCTGTACGTTTTGAAATGAAAATAAAAGTAGTAAAACACGTTTTTAATTTATTATTATTATTATTATTATTACTACTATTATTAAAATTTACAAATACAGCCAGGATGTTTGTATGTATAAATAAATAAATGTTTACAAATATTAGCTCATTTTACAGCTTTATAATTGTTTTAATCTAATAATGTTTTTAGGTATTGCTGAACTTATTTCTCCCAAATTTACATCTATGCATAGCGTTAGCAGATTTATTTCGATACTACGGCAAACCCCGGATGTGCTTTTTTTTTCTTTTCTTTTTTTATTTGAAGTATAACAAAACATTACAAGTTTACAGAACAAATTGGCATGCAACTTACATTCAAGGACATCAGTTTTATGAGGGGCTTAGACTTATACAGAATACAAAAACAAAAGAAAAGAAAAAAAAACATCAATTCTTGAAACCATCTATATTAATAAATATAGATTAAAAACAGGGGATAAAATAAAACATTATAATAAATTATATTTATCAAATAAATCTAACAAGATTCCAGCTTTTTTATTTGTACTTTTTACAAAGTTTTTGAGTATTGTCTCAAATAATTCTTAAATACTATAAACATGGGGGTGATTTAGAAAATCTACACTTGTGAATAAAATTCTTCGCTAACAAAAGTAAAACATTAATCAATAAACTTTTTTTACCACCTTCTTCATAGTTTCCATACTTAATATCGATAAAGGACAGGTTCAGTTCAACCTCATTTCTCTCTTTTAACCATAATTGCACTTTGTCCCAGAAGACACTAGAATATTTACAACCAAAAAAAGAAAATGCTCTGTATTATCTGGAGATGAGTTACAAAATTTACATAATATAATTTCAAAATTAAATCTAACCCTTTCCGGATGTGCTTTTTTTGCGTCGGTGTCCCGGATGTGCTTTTTTGCGTCGGTGTCCCGGATGTGCTTTTTTGCGTCATAGAGAGGCGCCGCTGAGGGTGTTTTGATGTTGTTCGGCGGAAAGGCTTTAACACAAAAAACTGTTTTTAATAACAATTTGATCGTTACGCTGGTGGTCAAACATGGGGAAGTCTTTTGCTAATTTCATGTGCAAGAAAGATTTTCATCCTGCATCAAAATCCAACATAAAGAAGGTAAACGGGAGGTTTTAGCTAGCAAGCTAAGCTACTGTTGCTATGGTGTAAACATTAGTTCAGAGCTTTACTTATTTTTCTAATTGGATACGCGGATATATTTAGTCACAGACACATCATATGGTTGTAATGATATAATCTGATATATCATTGTGATATAAATATAATTGAAAATGATATAAAAAATTCAGTTTGATCCGCTAATCATATAGAAAGCAGAGTGTGATGTCAAGTGTTGAGAGAGAAACTGCTAAACTCCTAAACCCTGATTCTCAGGTATGGATCGCAGAGCAGAAACTAAGCTTCGACAAGAAGAAGCAGGAGGAACTGATGCAGGCTTACGTGAAGGAGCAGGACACATACAACAACAGGTTAGAGGAGAGGACACAGGACTGGATCCAGCAGTCACGTGCTGAAAGACATCCGGTCATTAGATCAAAGAGGGGTCAGGGCTTTCCCTGATATTACTGAAATAATCAGGTCTTTACCTGTAGCTGTCTCTTGTATGTATTATACTCCAGACTGCTGATGGGAGATGATCGTGTGAAGAATGGCCTTAATTTCATGTATGAAGCACCTCCAGGAGCGTCTAAAGGTTATAAACTGGCTTTTCAGCACATTCTCCATGTGGTTGTGGACCAAAACAAAAAATCTGTAGAATATTAAAGAGTCTTTAAGAGTCATTAAATTAATGTAACTGATGATAACTGATCATTCGTGTCCAAATCATGACAAAAATAAAAACATAGAAGATTTTCGATCAAATTCAAAGTGTTCGAAAATCAAGAAAAAAGAGTTAAACGAAAGCGTATGTATTCACCTGTTGTTGTTGTTTTTTATATCATCACCAACTTCCTCCAGAGGAGACAAAAGAGGTAATGTTCATTTACATTACGTTAAAGTTTGTTGTTGATTATTAGTGACTGTGCCGTGTCAAACTTTTAAATATGAATATTAAACTTGTCAAGTATGTTTAACCTCATAAAGCCTACTGTATTGTATGTGATACACAATTTTTAAGGCATCTTAATCATCAACATGTTCAAACATTTACTGAAAAACCTAAGATTTGGTGTAAATTGTAAAATGTTTCATTTAATTTCTCTATTATTTCATGTGTTAGGCTTTACTGAGTTAAGAAGGCATCTTGTGGATTTTTCTCTTATAGTTACAGCTCATTATGTGACCTAAAATGAGCTTTTTTCTCCTTAGGAAGGAGAATCTGAGTGCAAGTTTGAGTGGCAGAAAGTAGCTCCTCGTGAAAAGTAAGTTCACTAGTCGGCGCTTCTCAGGTTTGCACATTCATGCATTTCTTACGGTTATTTTCTGTCTTCTCAGGTATGCAAAGGATGACATGAATATTCGGGATCAGCCTTTTGGCATTCAGGTGATGTTTCGTTCTGTGCTCTACACCTTCATAGATGCAGATGAACAGTTTTTACTTATCCACGGATGTCTAAATGCAGTGAATGTGGGCTTTGTGCTTGTTTCCTTGTTCTTTCATTGTTTTAGGTGCGGAATGTGCGCTGCATTAAGTGTCATAAATGGGGTCACGTGAACACGGATCGTGAGTGTCCCCTCTTTGGCCTGTCAGGGATCAACGCCAGCTCCATGGCCAGTGATGAAGCAGGTAAACTGCTCTTTCCTTGTACGATATATGATATATAGGCCTGGTTTCACAGACAGGGCTTAGACTAAGCCAGGATTAGGCCACAGTTGAATTAGGACATTTAAAGGGATAGTTCACCCAAAAATGAAAATGTGATGTTTATCTGCTTACCCCCAGGGCATCCAAGATGTAGGTGACTTTGTTTCTTCAGTAGAACACATTTGATGATTTTTAAAGATAAACATCACATTTTCATTTTTGGATGAACTATCCCTTTAAGTAATTTTTATAAAGTGCCTTAGAAAAAAACATCACTGGTGTCCTTCTTGAGACAAAACAAAGGCATTGACATATTTTAAGATCAATCAGTGCAAGTTTCTTTCAGTTGAAACAGCTCAGGCTTACATTTTAGTCTGGGACTAGGCTTAAGCCTTGTCTGTGAAACCGGGGGATAGGTTTGCTGTTCTTATATTAGAGCTGATATACACTTTCAGACCTGTAGATGGCGGCAGTGTCTAATAATACACCTCGAAATTCTACAATACCAGGACAAAACTTTCTCATTCATGTCAAGTTCTGAATACAGGTGTTTCTGAGCCAATGCCATGTGACTAATGGCACCATATGAAAGTAATGCCACTGTTTGGACAGTCCCTACCCTTCAGTAGTAACTATCCTGAGCTGAGGCAGTCAGGCAAAAGTGCATTTCATGTTTTTAAGATTTTAGGGGATCTACTGCAATCTAATACATTATTTGTGTTTATATGATGCTGGTAAAGTATTTTTATTTTGAAGTAGGCTAACCTGACAAACATTTACCTCTTGTGATACATAAAGCATATGGTAGCATTTTGTCTGAAAATCGACGATTCATTTCTTTTGAAGGATAAAAATATGATAGAATATTTCATACACATACTACTATCATTATCCAAACATGTCAACTCAAATCCAGACAGGGTTATTATAGTTTTATTCAAACTAAAACCATAAAAAAACCGAAACAAACAAACAAACAACATTTCTAATTTTCATTTAGTTTACCTTGAAGTACTAAAATAACTAAAACTAAATGAGCTAAAACAAATAAATAACTATTAGTAAAATTAAAAGGAAATAGACTGTTTAAAAAAAAACTAATAAACATGACAAAAACACGCAACAAAATTAAAACTTCAATTACAATTGAAGTGAAACAAAGTGAAAAAAATGTAAATAATAACAAGAACTATAATAGTATGTCAGTGATTCTAAAATAACACTGATTCCAGAATAAAATCTAAATTGCATTGATGCTTTACCCAAAATTGAAAAAGAAATAAGAATATTTCATCATTTGCATCCTCTTTCTTTCTTCTGCAAAGCAAAATAGTTTTTTTAAAGAACATATGGAACCTAACGACCCTGACTTGGACAGAATTTGACAAATAAACCACTGATATTTCTCAAAATAGTTTAAGAACAACATAAAGTGGGGAAAATAAGCACAAAATGTTCACTTTTGGCTGAAGCATCCCTTTAACTTCGAGTTGGTAGAGTTAGTGTGGTGTACTTGGATACTTTTCTCTCAGTTTGTGTTGTTGTGTTTCTGTTATTCAAATAAATCAGTGTGGCGGCAGTGTCTCATGAGAGAGTCAGGACGGTAATATGTATGTTGCAGAAGAGCGGAGATAGACACTACTCTTGTGTTGGTGGGAAAACGTTATTATTTGTTGTTTTGATTGGTTGAAACCTCTGCTTCTGCAGAATGATACGGTGTACGCCTTACCCAGCTGGGAGACGAGGGAGTTGATTTGGTGTGTCTTTGTGTTAACAAAGCCGCTAGTGTACGTCTCGCAGAGGAGGGGCATGATCACACATTATTTGTTCTGAAAGAGTGATTTGTCCTAACAGGTCCGTCAATGCACCCCTCCGAGTTAATGGCAGAGATGCGAAACAGTGGGTTTGCGCTGAAGAAATGTGTCCTTGGGAGGGACAGCACCATGAGTGATCCAGCACAGGTAATGGCCAGGTCCCTGCCCAAATATGACCCATGAGATCCATGTCTGGAGCTCAGCGTGCGATTGTAGAAAAACGTCCAATTATTGAACGGATGGCTCACGAGCGATTCCCTAGAAACTAGAACTGATGAGACCAACAACTACAATTGCAAGACAGCCGAGACATGCTGGATTTCACACTGTACTTCTACACAAAAGTGTCTTTCTGATTGGCCTCTTGTATATGTATGTTCAAGCGAGTGGACCGACCTAGTGATTGTGTGCGTGTGTGCGTGTTTGTGTGCGTGTGCGTGTGTGCGTGTGCGCGTGTTTGCATGTTTGCGTGTTTGTGTGTGTGTTTGTGTTTGTGTTTGTGTTTGTGTGTGTGTTTGTGTTTGTGTGTGTGTGTGTGTGTTTGTGTTTCAGGAGCTTGTGGCCAGTGAGGAAGAGGATGACCCTGAGGTGGAGTTCCTGAAGTCTCTGACTACCAAACAAAAGCAGAAACTGCTTAGGTATGAGTTATTATTTATTACACGTACACAACCAGCTGTCTCCATAATAATATAATTGATCGTCTAATTACTGTTAATATAAATCGTTATAAATAAAATGGTCACACATTAATTTGGGGACGATTTCTCACTATTAACTATGTTTTTGCCTCAATAAACTCCTAATTGGCTGCTTATTAATAGTTAGTAAGGTAGTTGTAAAGTTTAGGTATTAAGGGATCTAGGATATGGTGGTGTGCGTTATAAGTGCTAATAAAGAGCCAATATGCTAGTAATATGCATGCTAATAAGCAACTAGTTAATAAGTGAGAATTGAACCTTAAAATAAAGTATTACCAATAAGATGAAATCGGAAAAAAAAAGAAATGAAAAATAAAGTTAGTAATATTATTAGTTTAACCTTATTATTATTATTGTTGTTGTTGTTTATTTTTATTTATTTATTTATTTTTGGAGATTGAGTAGAAAGTAGAATATCTGTCATTTTTTAAATTCTTTATAAACTAATTTCAGTGCAAGCAAGTAGCTGTTTAACATAAATATGCAGTAGCCTTCCATTTATGTTGCAATAATTTATTAACACACACACAAAAAAAAGTAAAACGGCCCAAAATGCACGTTGGTCAAATATACACATTATATTACCGTTTAAATGTTTGGAGTTGAAAGAAAGATTTATAAAAATGTTTTTGAAAGATGTCTGTTATGCTCACCAAGGCTGTACTTATTTGTTCAGAAAGACAGTAAATACAGTAATATTGTGAAATTTTATTACCTTTAATTAATCTTATTTTAATTTCAAATAACCATTTTTTTAAATATATTTTAAACTGTAATTTATTCCTGTGATCAAAGCTGTATTTTCAGCATCATTACTCTAGTCTTCAGTGTCACATGATCTTCAGAAATCAGTTTAATATGCTGATCTGCTGCTCAAGAAACATTTCTGATTATTATCAATGTCGAAAACAGATGTGCTGCTTAATATTTTTGTGGAAACCATTAAACATTTTTTATTTCAGGATTCTTTGATGAATATAAAGTTCAAAAGAACAGCATTTATATGAAATAGAAATCTTTTGCAACATTATAAATGTCTTTACTGTCACTTTTGGACAATTTGATGCATCCTTGCTGAAATAAAAGTGTTAAAAAAAAAAAAAAACTTACTGACCCAAATATTTTAAACGCTGGAATAAAATGGAAAATGTCCACAATATACAGTACTATAACAATGACCAATCAGTCTGCAGTCTGTTAAATCTCATCCCCTTCTTTTTAGAAAACTTGACCGTCTTGAAAAGAAAAAGGAGAAGAAGAAAAAGAGTAAAAAGGAGAAAAAGAAGAGCAAAAAGAAGCAGAAAAAGAAACAAGCCAAGAGTGAGAGTTCATCCAGCAGCTCATCAGACAGCAGCAGCGACTCTGAGGATGAGAAACGCTCCGGAAAAAAAGCCAAGAAGAAGAGCAAGAGAAGGAGAAACTCAACCAGCGACAGCAGCTCTGAGAGAGAGCAGGAGAAAGACTCCAGACACGCACATTCAAAACACAATGAGCACAGAGTTCAGAGGTCACCAGACAACAAGCACAGCAGAGAGAGAGGTAGAGATCGACACAGGAGCAGCAGTAGGGAGAGGAGGAGCAGGAGCCCTCGGCGACGGAGAGATGAGAAAGAGAGAGGTAAGGAGAGATACAGGAGCATGAGCAGGGAGAGAGCGAGAGAGAGAGGAGACAGGAGCGGAGAACGAGACAAGGGCAAGAGGGAAAGAAGCAGAAACTCTGATAGAAATGTCAGGAGGAGGAGTGTCAGTCGGGAACGAGGGAGGGGCGGTGAAAAACGTGAGAGTAGGACAGAGCACAGCGGAGGGAAATAGCTGGAAGTGGATGATCACTGTCTTATCTCTGATTAAAGGAATAATGAAAATCAAACGTCAAGCTCCAAAATGACAAAGCAGCACATCTTGTATTACACGTCTTCTGGAGTCATACAATACCTTTTATGTGACAAACAAACCAAAATTCAAGTCATTATTCATGTATATTCTCCCCTTTCTTTAAAACATCTCTTGGTCACCCGAGAACCATTGACATTTGATAATAATTGGTACTGAGAGCAGGAAAGGGGAAGATTTTCAGTGAATATTACCTTTAAAGGTGTTCTGTTTGTCGAATAAAGTTATATTCAGAAGACTCAGAATACAGAACTGTGTCCCCCCCTTCATCATTTTGGAGCTTCATAGATGACACAACTGCTGTTCTGTGGAAATTTTAGCTGATTAAATGTATATATTTTAAAATGTCCTTTCCTAAATTCATATGGGTTTGGACCGACGTGAGGGTTGATGATGAGAATTTTCAGTAAATGACTTGTTTTGGGTGGCTTTCCCATTTGTTCCCCATTTACAGTCAGCTCTGAGGATTTCTCCAGAAGAGGGCGCTCTGAGAATGTAGAAACTGAACCTGTTCTAGAGCACAATTAAAAAATCATGTTTGACTTTTTTTCCTCAATATTTGCTGTAGTCCTGGTTCACTTTTCTTTTAGCGTTTAGCCCATCCAACATGTGACGTTTGTTTGATCTAGTCTTTTTACAAGATTCTACACATAATAACTTAAATGAATTATTTTGCAAGTTCATTTAACTGATTTTTTTAGCTGCTTCTTCCTCACATTAAATGTTTATAGGCTACTCCTTGTAAATCAAAAATATGTAAAATAAATGTATAATGAATGTGACACAAAACTTCCTTTACTCTTCAACCTCAACCACATTTAACATTTTTCATCTCGGAAGACGACTGAAAATGGTTGTTTCAAGGATTTTTACACTAATTTTGGAGTTTTATTTGGTAGTTTCTTCGTAGTTTGTTAGGAATTGTATCTTGATTTAAATTCAGGGTGACTTTATTAGGCTATTTATTGTGTTTAGCTGCAAATAATTGTGTTTTTAAGTTTCCAGTATAAGCAACTGAACTGTAACTGAATACACTGAAAAAATGATGAATTAAATGTACTAATTTTTTTAAGGTAAGTGGTGGCAATCAATTTATTTTAGCTACAATTAAATAAATGTTGCTGAAAGTTAGTCAACTAAATTTGTTTATTGAAATGAAGCTAAAATAAAGTGATTTCAACCACTTACCTTAAAAAAAAATTGAGTAGCCTATCATTTATTTTCAAAGAAATCAATGCAAAGTCCACTGATTCCACTCCTCATGTTCGAAGTGTCTTGTTCAAAATTCAAAAATAGTGAAAAGAGGCAACAAAAATATTGACGGCAGGAAATGTTTTTCATTCAGAGCGCATGGTTTATATGCATAAATGATCAACATTAATGCCTGAAATACTGGCCACATTAACAAACTCGCTCGAAATAACAACTCTCAGTATTTACCAATATTCAAATAAACCCAACCCAAGGGTGGGCTGAAGTAGCCTACGATGTAAAATTTAATTTAATTGCAATTCAATTTGTTTTAATAGCCTATTTCAGGAACAAATACTGACTACTTTTTTTATATGTCACAGAAAAACATAAAAACCCCACTGAAAGGCTGAATGTGACAGTAAAACATTATCATCTACCATTCGCTGAAGTGAATTGGTTGATTTATTATTAATAATAATAATGAGCATTTAATGTGTAAACACGATCTGCGCTTGATGGACATTTTCTGACTAAAGGGGAGATGAAAGAGCAGCGCTCCTCTTTGATCTCTCTTTTATTGCCGCGCGCAAACAAAGCTGACTTCTGCCTCGCGTCAGAGGGCATTCCAGAGAAACGCGCACAAAAGGCCGTGAGTGACAGCGCCACTGTCCGCCACCCCAGGCGCATCACTCCCCTCCAAAAGCATGCAAAGCACTTAGATCGTGTCCATGTAAAAGATCCCGTTTGTAAATCTTAATAGAACCATATAATTGTAAAGCGTGCTCCTGAATGCATTCACGCCCAAATAGCGCTCATTTCCGTAACACACATTTTGAATTGTGAGCCATAAAATCGTCGCATCCTATATTAACTTTTTAAAAGCCCGAGAACTGTATTCTGTACACCTGCTTATTTTGGAGAAAACGCTTGCCTGAATTGGTGTAAAACGGAAATTGCATTTTGTCGTAGCCTATTTTAAACCTAGGATATTTGACCATTTACAAGATTTATTAACCTTAAATATTTTATTCGTTATTTGCAAAATGTCATCCGTTTTTCACGAGGTCATTACATGATAATGGACCGTTTTCTATATTTGTGTGTTTTTACGGCACCGGCCACCAGCACACAAAAGGAAATGAAAATAATTGTATTCTATTGCCTTCTGGTCAATTTACCTTGCAGCACAGAAAGCGTGTGGAGCAGACGCGCAGCCCTAACGAGTTCCCAGGCAGGGCTCGAGCTGTAGCCTAATTATTCCGCCGGGTTTTCTGTGGGATCGGACGCTGCACTGGGTAAACACAAAGAAGTCAGAGAGCATCCTTGAACCTTTTCAGTACAGGGCCACTGATATTCAAATAACAGCCAGGGACCATTTGACTGCGAGAGCATTTTAAATCCAACATTAGCATAAGGCCTCTCCCCATTTCCCCTTTCAAAAGTGGCATCCAGAAAAGGCAAGAAAGAAAGAGAGGAGGGGGGGGATCTGTTCCCATACCACCAAATCAAGTGTAGCGTTTTATAAAAGCTAAACGATGCTTTATGCCATCAGCACTCTCTTGGATGGACATTTTCCATTTGACATGCAAATTTAAGCAGTTAATTTGAGCAATTCAAATAAATATTCAGAGGCCCTTTGTCACTGAATCCCCTCGGAAAATGTGCGATAAAGAGCTGCTGAACAAATGATGTCTCGGAGAGTAATTAGATATTTGATAAGACACAAATCCCTAATCGCCAATACAAGACACATGGGGCTGCGATGCGCTCCAAGTCATAATTAATACTATTTAACAAGATTTTCATTTGGACAAAAATGCCTTTCCGGGGCATTAACTATTGATTTTTCCCACTGGGGAAAACGAGTCTACATCAGCGCAACATTATCGATGTTTAGTCTGCAGTGGTTTCATTTTTCTAAAATGTAAATAAATGTGCGTAGCCTAATAATTACGCGCGGGCTTTAAACGATTACAACTGAGACTAGCAAAGCCTCGGTTGAATCGGATGAAAACATTTGCACCAGACAACCCAATCTTTCGATTTGAAATCCCTTTAATTACTAAATGAAAGCCTTATAAGCGTGACTTTGTACAATTAAACATTTATATATTTTTAGCAAGGTAAAGGAAAGGTTAAATGAATTTTAAATAGCTGTGTAACATACATACTGACATCCACAAAGTGCGTCGAAAGGAAAGAAAATTCCCTGAATTTCAGGATCCACCACAAAACAATCATAAGTAACATTTACAGGGAAAAATAACATGTTATTTTTGTGGATATATGTACACAATTAGCTCAACCGGCAGCCGTGGTTATTTAGTTCCCGCAGCGATTCCGCAGCAAATGTCCACTGTTAAAAACACTCGGCCTCGACGAGACTTCTTCGTCCCGAGAGCTGAGGAAAAGCGTTCGCCTGTGGCTGTGCGCAGCAGAAATAGCCAGTGTTGCACTGAAAGTGCTCGTTCCAATGCAATGTCAGAGTTTGTCGCATAGGCTTCTCCAGACCCGTTTCCTTTTCTCGATTCACCTAAAAGAGGAAAATGCCTTTGAGGTCAAGCTCAGGACTCGTGGTGCGGAGACTGATCTTTGACCGTGACCCGTGGGTTCACACCCTCTAAAATCAGTTCGGGCGACTCGGACCTGGGCGTCTCCAGGTTGCTGGTGTCGGTGTCACTGTCGCTGCCCTTTTTGCCTCCGCCTCCAGCGGTGTGCGTTTTGATGTGTTTGCTTAGGTGGTCGCTCCTCATGAAGCGCTTGTTGCACACCGGGCAAGCAAACCGTTTCTCGCCGGTGTGAGTGCGCAGGTGCCTCTGGAGCTCATCTGACCTGGTGAACCGTTTGCCGCAAAAAAGCCAGTTGCACACAAAGGGCCTCTCGCCAGTGTGCCACCTCAGGTGCGCTTTGAGGTGAGACGTTTTCCCGTAGACTTTACCGCAGCCCGGGATGTGACAGCTATGGAGTCCTTTCCTCCGCAGGCTGGCCCCCGCGGGCCCCAGCCGCTCCGCCTCGTGGCAGTTTGGGCAGTCGCATGTGGCGCGTCCGGAGTATCTCCTGGAGGACCTGGATGAGGTCCCTATACCCGAGCTGGCGCCGGAGATCATAGCGTTTGTGGCCGAGGCGTCAGTGTAAGTGGGGATCACAGTTTTGAATCCCTCCTGCGTCAACAGGTGCTGGCTGGTGGACAGGAGGTGGGACGCAGTGGGGCTCATGCCGGTGGAGCTGAACGCGGAGTGCGTAAGGCTGGAGAAGTCTGGGTTGTAGCTGCTGAGCTGCGAGTGGATGGCTTGGGGGGTTCCGGAGTGCAGTGAACTTTGCAAACTGCCGGCTGGGTTTTGCACCTCGAGCCACGAGCCTGGGTTCGTGTGCACATCCCACCACGTGGACGCGCCGTTGGCCACCTCGCCAGAGATGGTGGAGTGAAAGCCGGACTTGTACCACGATTCGTACGGGTGCGCCATGCCGACCCGCGGATATAGGGTCTCCGCGGACGAGTGCACTTTGGAAATGAAGGCGGACTGTCCTGACTCCTGCGAGGAAACGCTCGCCGTGTTGGAGAACAAGCTACTGTACTCGGCGGAGAACGCGGAGGAGGTCGGCGAGGTCGAGGCCAGGCAGAAAGCGCTGTTTGCCGAGCCGGTGCTGGTCGTTAGTCCCGAGGAGCTGCGGCTTGTGGCGACGGTGAATCCGGGCAGGCTGGAGCCCAGGTTGCAGCTCGACGACGATCTCTTCCAGGGATGAAATCCGCCTTTGGAAAACGCGCTGGAGTCGGGCAGAG